GGCAGTGGCGGCGTAGCCCGGCCCCTGCAGGGGAAAAAAGTCCATCGATAGCCCGCACCCCCGTATAGCCCGCACCCATCCATTGTTTTTGTAAAATCACATATACCCCGCGGGATATATGCGCAAAAATACAGTATTTATATTTAAATAAAGCTATAGTGATTAATTGCAAATATTTATGAAAATCTCTAGCAATCTGACAGATATTCTAGTGGATATTAAGTGTACTTGGGTGGCTTAAAAATTATCTTTTAATTTGAGTCTCTCCATACATGGATTTCTTTATCCTATCTTCATTTCACCTTTGTACTGTGTAACAGAGTACAGTGTGTGCTCTGTTACTTGCAGGGGCATGTATGACTGTGGAGACATATTGTGTTTGAATCTGTCATCCATCATACCAATTTATTCTGGCTTCATTTTGAAATGCTGTTTTTTTGCCCTGCGAAGAAACAAATGGAGTAGAGATTTGGGCCTACTAAACATACCTGGGAATTTTAATTTCTTCTTTTAAGAGCTATCAGAGTACCTCAGTATTTAGCATATCGCAGGCTTTCCTGTAGGTCTATTGGGATGCAGTGATGGTGTTTTTAGATAACCCGTAAACTGAGGTACAGATTAGTTAAGAGCTCAGTTCTCCTCTTGTTGCCAGTAGTCTCGCATGCATCGGTGTTAGAACTAGTACTACAGCCAAGTACAATGTGCATTTCCATGCTTGAGCCATCCTGTTACGTAGCCTCCCTGTTGACTAAAAATGTGACTGCAAAACAAAAAAAAGTACTGCCTGTGTAGTAATAAGACACTTAAATAGTAATTGTTGTTTCTCAGCTGTGGTGCACTGCTTAACTCTTTATGGCATCTAATATTTTGTTTCAGCAACTTGTGTGCACCTTGGCAACAGTTATCAGGCAGGAAGTGACATTACTGGATCTGCTACATTTTAGCTGCATCCTGTTAGATCCTTTCTTCTTCATAATGGAGTTTGCTCTTTGCATTACATCTTGTTATCTCACAGATTTATTAAAGGCATGGGTACCATAGCTCATTAACTGTTAAACACATTCAACTGGTTTCAGTCCTCAGTACTTAAAATAGTTTAGAAATTTTATCTCAGTGTGGTAGTTGTAATGTTTTATTGAATTTGTATTTTCATACGTAATTTAGATTTATACCATCGGGGATTGGTGGGGGGGAAGAAGGGGGCTTTCCAGAAGCTTAAAGAGCCCTGAGAGATGCACAGGAGACAATCATGGCTACCTGTTTATGACTTGCTGTAATACCATATTCATTCAAATAAAAGATGAGGTTTTTCGCCCCAATAAACATGAGGAAAAAAGCTCATAATCTTACAGTTTCATACAAGGAAACCTCGTTAAATACATTGTCTCTTGTTAAACTGCTGCCAAAAGCTGCATGTGCTCAGTAATGGAAACCAACCATGAAGCTGATTAAATGCAGCCGTCACTGAGCATGGCTGTAAAACACATGACGGGAACCTTTTTTGTGTGTGTGTGTGTGTGTGTGTGTGTATGTGGTCCTTAAAAAAAAAATGGGGGTGGGGGGGGGCAGTTGATTCTCCAAGAGGAAAGCAGGGCAGGCATGAGTAAAAGTTTGGCTGCGTACAAACTTTTTCAGGCCACGCACCCACTGGGAATGGAGCTGGGCTGCGGCATGGGACGCTTAGTAAAGGTAAGCTTGTCCCCTAGGTGGAGTCGGGGGCTGGTGTGGGCTCCGCCGGCTCTGAGGAACTGCTCTGCTCCCCCTCATCGCCTAGGGGAGTGAGGACTCGCATGGAGTCAGGGCTGGGGAGTGTAGCACTTCCCGGAGCTGGTGGAGCCTGTGGAGCAGTTCCCGGGAGTCAGAGGAGCCTCACTCAGGGCAGGCAGCGGCTCCTCCCTGAGGTGAGGCAAAGCAGGGATGGAGGCTGGGGTGGGGGCTGGCCTGGGCTCCGCTGGCCCTGGGGAACTGCTCCGTGGGCTCCAGGAAGTGTTCCACTCCCCGGCCCTGATGCCACATGCCTCCTCGTTCCCTGAGGCAATGCAGGGGAGCGGAGCAGTTTCCCGGAGCCCACATCAGCTCCCAGCGGAGCATCACTTGGGGCAGGCAGGCCCAGGCCCTAGCCCTGCAGCCTCCAGCCCCCGCCCCCCAGGCTCCAGCCCTCCAGCCCCTGCCCCCCAGGCTCCAGGCCCCCAGGCTTCAGTCCCCGCCCTCCAGCTCCCCAGCCTCCAACCCTAAGGCCCTGCTGCCTGCCCCGGGTGAAGAATGAGGAGCTTACCTTTTGTAAGTGTCCCATGCCGCACCGAAAGGGGGAGGCAGGACCAAAGTGGCGCACCCATGGACCGAAGCAGCATGCTCATGGACTGCTACTCCTTAGAGGGAACATTGCCTGGTGGCCATCTATAAACTTACCAGGAGGGACCAGCGGGGAATGGGAGAGACCCTGTTCACCCGAGCACCTCCCGGAGTAACAAGGAATAACAGCCATAAGTTGTTTGAGAGTAGGTTCAGGCTGGACATTAGAAAGCACTATTTCACAGGGTGGCTAGGATCTGGAACCAATTGCCAAGGAAGTGGTGCTGGCTCTTACCTTGGGGGTCTTTAAGAGGAGGCTTGACAGTTACCTAGCTGGGGTCACATGAGCCCAGTATTCACTCCTGCCCAAGGCAGGGGGTCGGACTTGAAGATCTACTTGGGTCCCTTCCGACCCTACATCTGTGAATCTATGAAATGAATACCAGGTCTGGAGGTATTACAGTACTAGGCTAGCTCTTAGGAGAGGTCAGAGCAAGCTCCAACACTCTCCATAGTGCCAGAAATGCTGATAGGAATCTTTTTTTGGCTGATAAGAATCTACCACAAGGCTAGGTTAGTGTAGTCCATTTAAATAAAATGTATGGTAATATCCATTGCTCTCAGTCTCCCTAAGCCTCAACTCTTTTTGAGCCACTGCAATGAATGGCAGATGCATGACGAATAGGTCCAAGGAGGTGATACTTCCCCTCTATTGGGCGCTGGTCAGACCGCAGTTGGAGTACTGCGTGCAATTCTGGGCGCCGCACTTCAAGAGGGATGCGGATAACCTGGAGAGGGTTCAGAGAAGGGCCACTCGTATGGTTAAGGGCCTACAGACCAAGCCCTACGAGGAGAGACTAGAGAAACTGGATCTATTCAGCCTCCGCAAGAGAAGGTTGAGAGGCGACCTTGTGGCTGCCTATAAGTTCATCACGGGGGCACAGAAGGGAATTGGTGAGCATTTATTCACCAAGGCGCCCCCAGGGGTTACAAGAAATAATGGCCACAAGCTAGCAGAGAGCAGATTTAGATTGGACATTAGGAAGAACTTCTTCACAGTTAGAGTGGCCA